TCAAGCCCTCCGAACGAAGCTCAATGAAGGAAAAGTGAGCACGAAATTAGACGAAACGTTAATCCAGGCCCTCGCGAGCTCACGGTGGACTTATCTTTAGCCGCACCACAATCGGAAGACGCAATCAGCAGCTTAGCCGCTTCATCCGCTCATTCTGCGGGTGGGAAACCAGATGGACGTGCGAACACGAACAGGATCACCGGCCAGGACGGCAGCTTAGATCAATGATAGCTGCACAGGCACGATCAGCAGAATCCGATGGGAGACCCCTCAACTGAGATTAATCCGCCTCCAGGCGTCGATGACTGATCTTCCTTTATATGCCCCACCCCCTCCTTTGCATTGGCCTAAACACTATTGACTATGACCGCCAATTACTTTAAATACTGTGGGGCACGGTACAACCCCCACCTCTGATGACGGAAGCCTGTTCGCTTTTGAAACGTTAGGAAATAAAACAACGGTTCCCGTGATCGCCTCTTCTTCTCATTTATGTCCGGGGACTCGAATTTTTGCTTCTATTAGCAATATATTCATAGAAAAAACGCGTGCATGGTAACTTGAGATTCTTCAAATTTTCAAGCTTTATTGCTTTCGGACAAAGCCAGTTTCATAAGTCGAACGACAACTTTGAGTGTGATCTCATTAATAGCAATAAGTATCAATAGCGGATGGAGGAACTTACATTATTTATAAGGCTATTTGAACCGGAGGACATCGTTACAGTGATTTTGCAGGCTCCATTTGGCAGGCTTTTCACTGTAAAATTCAGCTCTGATTTGAGGAAGTCATCGAGGGCAAAACCAAATCGCATTCCCTCCACGATCTCTGTTATCTCTGCCGTAATGTGATTGGGATCTAAAATGCAAGGGAACGAAAAGACCTTCAAAAACATTCCACGGAATAATCAGACGATGCATTATTTTCTAGCGATTAACAGAGACTTTCTCGCGACCGATTTCACGAAGGACATTCTGACGTGTCAAACGTGTATGCCTCCGAGTTTTGTTTTTATTTAAGGATATTACTGTTACGATGTAGTATATCAAACCGTCCTCTGTCAAAGCGGCTTCATGCTCTTTGATTTAACTGCATATTAATCGTGTTGATCGATGAACCATTTACACGGTTTTATCAATTGAATTTACCTCGAAAGAGTTTAGGGTATTCTAAAGACCCAGACAAGTGTTCTTGACGTTATGCAATGGCAAAATTGGAAGTGGTTTTAGTAATATTTGACCACACCCTTCCCAGATTTCTGTTTGGAATGGCCGTAGAATGCATTTCTAATGAGCAAAAAAATTTAATTAAGTATTAATAGCACTGAATGAAATTCAGGAAATTTCAAAAAACATTAAACATTTGCGTCTAGTTTATTATGCGGTAACATTTTCGTATTGAGAGCAAGCATCCACAGATAGCCACCCAGTAAGTAAATGGCATCCGCCTAATTTATCATTCCTTACAAAGGTAGTCTCCATGTGGGCCATGTTAAAGTGAAAAACCTAAAAATATACTCCGTCAAAGTACATTTACTATGGGAAAGCGTACGTTGCTGTGAGGAAGTGAGAAGTCAAAAAAAAGCATTTGCCGAGGGTGTCTTATATAGCCCTCATCAAAGGACCTGACAACAGCAACTTTCCATAATACAGGTGTCTTATGTCAAATTGCAGAAAAAGCGGGGTAAAAAGTAAAGACTAAAGTTACTTTTAAGGATAGGGTTCGCAGAACCCTTAACCTTAATAAAGGTCATGCGTTACGTTAAGGTGAGGGTGAGAAGATATTATGGGGTAAGGTTTTATGGAAAATTTGCGATTAAGATTAAGAGTTTAGGTTATGTTCATGCTGAAGCTAATCTTATGATGAAGACACTAAATTTCCTAGCCCTCCTAGAATTACGTTCATCACAAATTCAAGTACTTCAGTGGGCCTTTCCGATTACTTTCTCCTCAGTCGAATAGGATGTGATTTACTAGCAAATGACTGGATTCGATTGGCTGAGGTCTACAGGCAACTACGTGCGCTTGCTGAAAATAAAGATCTTACATCTTTCATATCCGCGTTAGTGTCGACAGCCCGGCAACTTGCAGGAGATGCGATACCCCCTAAATTTTTGACTGATATTGCTAAATGTGTTTCGTATTAGAATGTTTTACTTCACTGGCGTCAACAGGATCCATAGGCATTTTTCAGACACTGGGATGCAGGCCTTCGAAAAAGCTCTTTTCCTGTCATCTACACCACATCCATTGTGTACGGAATAACTACATATTTAAGTTGACCCAACTGTGAAGAAACTCACGGCGTTCGGCAGGATTTGAACTCGCATAGTAGGGAAGGCCTTAATGAGGAGCCAATTCTTTACCAGTTAAGCTACAAACGCCACGCCTTGCACCGTGAATTAAATTTTACTTGGATCGCTTCTAACTGCCAACTTTACCGCTCGTATGGAGTCCAGCAATATGGAACAGCAAGCTGACTGCCCAAACAGGCTTTCTTAAGCAATCATCTAGAATCCGCAAGAATGACTACTAGGCTGACTTGTTATTAAGGAGGTTTGACAGATTTGCTTTATTTAAGTTGACCCAAGGCGTGGTGTTTGTAGTAAGTGGTAGAGCATTGGCTTTGTGTTAAGGCCTTCATATTAAGCGCGTTCACAACCCGCCGAACGCCGCGAGTTTTTTAACAAGTGGATCAACTTATATTAAGCAAATTTGAAAAATCTCCTCAATAACTACATATTCACGCACGTTGTATTACTTCTCTGTACGCTAATATATTGTAATATATTAACAGAAAACATGCATACGGAGACGTAAAAATTACATTATTTCGCAATTTATCCTCGGAAAAGCGGTATTTTCATTTTTAACATATTTTTTGCCTACTTTTTGATTAACTTTGAAGCCAACATATTGTTAAGCCTGCATTGAACATTACAATACTACATGCGACATATTCTCTATTTAAGACAAATAAAATTTCTTAAATTTTCAAAGCAGAGGTAATAGAGTGGAACTTACAAGCGTTATTCTGGAGACGTATGGATATGAAGATGTATGAATAGACATTTTTGATGATTAGAAATGTTTTAAGAGCGTTTAAGTCTCATTCTGTAAGTTAATATTTTGAAAAAGAAGTTTATATATCTTTTCTGTAAAATATATTGGAATTTAAAGAGGCAGAAGAAGAATTGCAAATAAGTTTTTTTTTAATTTTTGGAAAGTAGTATTTTCTGCTTGTTTGGAAAATGGCGTTTTGGCATGCCTGAAATATTTTAGCACTCTGCCCTATGAAAAACTAGTACTACAGTCGTTTCTCAAACCAATTTACATTTCTGCTAGTTGCTCGAATAACTGGATACCCAACTCATCTGCAGAGCGTCTGTCAACCTCTAAAACTTGCTGGTGGAGGTATGAGCAAAAAATATGCATGCAACTCTATTGTTCAATATTAAAAACACGTCACAGGCACAATGCTTTGGACTCGGGTTTGTCTGTTCGAGCAGAATGCAGAAACAGCCAGCCAGTGTCGGCCCATAGTGTATAAATATAATATTAGGCTAATATAATATTAATAATATTAAAATAATATATTATTCAGATAATATTCACCAAGTATCCGAGTTTTAGTTGTGACGACATCGAACCAGTAGTGTTGTGGCCTTCGCTCTTTCACTGAATAGCTTAGCAACCACATGGAAGAATAGGCTAAATACGGAAATAGTTGTTTCGATGAGAAAGCATGATGACCTTTCCGCACTTTGGGATTTTTAAGTTAGCAAACACTTCATTTTTAATGTTTGGCCCCACTTGAGCGGGAGGGCACATAAAAACATGTAAGGGCTGAATGACCGCAAAAATCCCTTAAAACAATACAGTTAGATTTTATGCCCTCGGGGTGGTGTAGGTTCTGAAGTTACTTAAAGCTGAAGACCTTTGTATAAATAAGGAGAATATGGCATGCTGCACAGCCCTAGAGGACCTTTTTCATAGTAGAACCAGCAATGAACAGCAAAAAAATGCTCTAAGAATTTCGGGAGGTACGCATATTGCTAGCAACTAAAGGTAACTGATGCAAGCGGCCATTAGCGCTTAAGTGAACATAAGAAGAGCTGTCTTCAGACAAAATGTTTGTTAGTCTTATAAGGAAGACATCCTTGTGTAGGAATCATTATCCGTTGCATCACCGAACAGTCCCTTTCCCCAAAAGTGGCATGTCTTTTAAATTATTCAAATAGTTGAAATGAGGTAAAAAAAACCTTTCATGTCCTATTCCACTGCTACCATAGTTGGTTCTCCCATCGATCCAAGACTGGCCTTCAGCTTAAAGATGCCGGTGAGTCGATCGAACACTATGCTATATAGAACGGCACGCATGCCAAAGGATATCATCGGAGACTGGCAATCGAGCGAATCGTGTTGTGAACTCCAATTTGTCATAGGCGGTTCCAACGTTTTATTTCCTTGTTTCTACTGATTTTTTCTACGATTATTTAGCCCCAAATACTGCTTTTTTGTCTTAAAATTACGGACCTTTCACAAAGGACCTTTAAGTTTCCCTTTTAAAAAACAAGATTGCGCTTTTTTGGCAAGCTATTTAGATATATATTTCCAATTACTTCTGGAAAGCCATACATTTAAACGCAATGTCCTCAGATTAAAGTCATTTTGACGAATTTCATAGATTACGCCTCATTACTCTTTACCAAGAAAGCTCTATCTAAACGTCTGTGATGTATGCAGTCGTTTAGATATATCTTACTAGCGCTACTAATTCAGGCCCCCTGTTTAAATTAAAGTTATAAATGCCAATTACATTTGCAAAATTCCTCTTTTCAGTTCCAAAATACATTTACAAAGGAGGATTACTTAACGTAATGGATGAAAGTAAAGTGCGGAATTCAAATACGTCAAAAGTATCTTATCAGCTATTATTTATCAGACCTGTATACAACGGAATCATGAACTTTGTGTGTGTAAGAAGAAAACTGGTTCACTTCTCGTAGAGCACAAGCTGTGGATGCGGGATTTTTTTTAAGACATTGCTCGGTCTACTGCAAACACTATACGTCGCATAAATGGCAACTAAACTAGTGGAACTTTTTCATTGATTTCCCGTTACTCTATAGAAAGCGTGTGCAGGCAATTTGGTTATCGCACTCATTCGAACAAAAATTCAAAATCGTTCTGAACATTCAAATTTCATGAAATTTCATCTTTAAAGTATAAAAATATTTGTAATTATGATATTTTCTAATACTTTGGCATAAGCATTCACAGAGCATCGTATTTATCATTTTCCTTAATAGTACTTGCGAAATATGCATTATAGACTTTGTCCACTAAAAACTTTCATAAGCTTTGCAAAACATCTTGTTATCGGCGTAGCGACTCACACAATTTTTATTTCACGTAAAATATGCAGCCCATATTTCGGAAACGATGAGTGCAGGTGTGGTCTCGGGGCGGGTTCAAAATCCCTCGATATTCGAGAATGTTGTTAAATTAAAAAAAAATCATTTTGCCCACAGACACACTTTGAGGCAACTTTGTGCCAAATTAGGGCAACAGGGAATGTCTAATGGACTGGTTTCACAAAATTTATGTTGTTAGTTTAATTTGCACATTCTATCCTGACATACGAATGAGCCCAAATGCATATTTTATTAGGCTTATTTGGCAGATGCATCATTGGTGGCACACTTTATATACATTTAGCTCCAGGCTTGTGTCTTACGCTTAGGGGTTAGGATAAGGGTTATGGTAATGTTTAGGGTGAGGGATAAGGTGAGGGATAGTTCAAGGTTAGGGTTACGTATGACGAAATATGAAGGTAGTTATGTATAGAAAACTACATAATCGTGATAAAATTTTCCTTGCTGTCTCATCTAAGCTATTCGTTTGAAAGTAGTTTCATAACTTATAACGTGTTGTAAGTTTACAAAATAGGGCAAAAAACATACCTTTCATATTTTTACTTTAATCCCTAAAATTCGACATAGAGTCGAAAAACGATTTTATCAGCTTTGCGGCTCCCATTCGATATAAAGTCGACCTAGAGTCGATATAGTTTCTGCATAGAGTCGTATACGATATTTTTCTGATTGGGCACTAATTGGATCCTATTGGTTGTGCTTCTCTGTCTAATTTTATTGCAAAAATATATAGTTATTAAAATAATTGTTCCTACTATTTCCTCATTTTATACTCTCTACTTTTTTAATTATTATTTCTTTCCCTTGGTTTGCCCTACTCGCATAACCCGCAAAACCGTCGGTCCCATATTGCAGAAGAATGGGGTTTCGCATTGTGTCCTGGGAGGTAAATTTAACTTCGACCCAATTTATTTTTACTTGTAAGTGCACTACACACGTCATGTTATTTTAGTAGTTCTTTTTGGGGAGCGCGATTTGTGCGTACAGCCGAAAAAATCTCGCTCAGAAGTGGTCATTCTGGTCTGAATGAAATGCCTGGACAAATTACACTAGAACTGAACCTTACATTGGTACGTACTTAAGTTTTTCTAATAAAAAAGACGTCTTAGAATTGCTATGAACATTACATATGAATAACACGTCCGTTGTGAGTTGTGCCAGTAGTGGAAAAACGAATGAACAGTGAATTTGATTTTTTGTAACATTCACTGCCCCATCCTAACTTCGTTTTCCTATATATTTTGGAGGATTAATAGCCAAAAATGTACTTTCCCAGAATCTGACTTTTCACCTTGTCAGGTAAGCATCCTCACAAATACGAGAAAGCAGCACAAAAGACGAATCAATTAATAATGTGCATTAAAACCTCAGAGAGCACCCGAAATTATGCAACAAACTCGAAACCGACGTCAACATAAAAATTATTGATCATCAGAAAACTGAAATATTCCCTATTTTCTGCCCACGCCCATCAATGTACCGCCCCTGAAAAGTCTTCTAGCGGTCCGAAAATCATATGCGCACACGTCTGCACAGTCTGTGACTTCTGCCTATGAAACTTTTGCTAATGAATTAGAGCACATTTTATTTGTTTGCAGAATACGAAATGTTGGTTTTCGACGGGATGGCCCATATTGGCTGAACGTAAATTTCGACAGAATTATGGGTGCATATTTTGATTTACTTCTGACATTTAGGACTTGCGGGTGTTTCAAACTTTTATTCATGCAGCATTTTTGTGCGATCGGCTGATTGGTCTTCCGGTTTCCTGATACGTATCCTGTACCGCCGCCTTCCTCCGACTACTGAAAATATTAAAGTAGTTCTTGCTAGAACATAATAATGGGTGTTTTATTCATTGCATCATCATTCCTTGGTGATCCCCACTTACAATTTAGATATCCTTATCGTGGGTTGCGAGAATGGGCCACATGCTGTAACTTATCAATTTAATTTCTTTCTTTTGAAAGTAAACACATTTTTCTAAACACACTATTTTGGTGCGCAGGAAAGGCAATATGGACAGGGTCTTACGGCGACTTTGTGTTTTCGGTTTGCATTATCCTACCAGTTGAATTAGTTAATATGCGCGACGTGCAAAATCAATCCTTGATATACATCGACACTTATTTACGGCCCTACATAATCCGCCGTCCCCTTTTTTCATATTTCTTTAGACAGTGGTCTTAAACGACTTATGGCCGACCGTATTCCATTGAATTATCTCTGTTAATTGGTTTCATGTTGTTTGCTGCAGTGTAGGTGCAGTGAAATCGTTTACTTTGGGACGTCTCCTGCCACGCAGGCTGACAGAGCCAGACTTTTCAGCTACTAACAGTGTCTTTGCGGGAGTTTTTGAACTATCTGTGCTAGTTTACTTTGTAAGACTATAGCTTTAGTTTCCTCATCAAAGTGGTGTTAAGTATGGTTGTAAATTGTTGCCGGTATTCAATCTCAAAGGCATTTTCATAACTTTTGAGTGTAGGCCTTCCTTTTAGGTAATCAAAATAGATCTACTTTGACAGGACTTCGTTCAGGTAAACTCATAATCTGGACGATTTAGCACACCTATTTTTTGCAAGTGATCGTAAAATCCGCCAACGAAAAAGACATCATGAACATATTAGCTTACCGATGTAATTTCGAGCAAAGATGAACTCAAACTTCGTGCCAGGTAGAGCAGCAGAGGGCTCCACATCGCTTTTGGTCGACTTTACCGAGTCCAACCAGGAGGGGTAATGTTTGTAGTCTGTAACGATCTGGAAACATCGCATAGCCTGCTGATTAAGCACGATCTCCTGCTCAAAAATCTGCGGCCCCGGTTTAACGCATACTAGCGCTACTAAAGCCGCCAAAATCACACCGCCAGGAAGCCAGAGGTTCATGCGAAAGTGTCGGGGAGATGCCGTAGGTGCTTCAGAAGCACAAAACCACTATAATCCACCGCAAGGACAAAAATGGCCCAGCTTGAAGCGCGAGGAAGTATGCCACACGGAATCGCGCAAGCTGATTGGTAGATGTTTCTGCTGTCAAGGTCACGTGGCTAGTAAGGAGTGGTCGCCAG